ATATAAAACTGTACAATATCGGAGAAAAATACTTATAGGAAAGAAACCCAAAATAATAATAATAATAACAATAAAAAACAGGAGTATTTGTGGTTATAAAATTTTGGATATTGAGTTAAATTTATAGGCAGGTGWTCAGCTCCTCTTTCTTTTTTCTTTTTTTTTTTGTTTTTATTTTCTTATAATTCTGCTCAGTGTCAGAGTCCACACAGTTTCTGTGGTCAAAGGTGATTGAAAACAAAGAAATGAAATTAGAAACAGTTGTAAGAAGGCCGCCATGAATCCTAACTTTAAGTCCTTCCTTAGATGCAGAAATAATGGTTGAAAATTATTAAAAGTTTCAACTCAAAGGTTGTTGCAACAAATCAGTTACAAAAAATTAAATTAACCAATCATTTGTTTGATAATATTTTTTCCACTAAAATAAAATCAAACTAGAAGAAAACACAAGTCTCAATAAAAAACTGATGGAAAAACGAACCAAAGGCGCTGCGGGTTTATTCAAGAGGCACATTTTTGTTTTTATATCCGTGATGAAAGAAAGCAACGTGATCCAACAGAAGACCTGGAACAGAATAATGCCCTTAGAGTTTGAATAGAAAAATAAAAAATAAAAATAAAAAAAGGCTGAGCGGGGTTCCTGCTGTTCTGTTGTTGTTGTTCTGGAGGCTCCTACTGGAGGAGTCCGTTTTGGACCGGGACAGTCTGCAGAAATCCTCCCCACCCCCCCTGGGATGGAGCTGGGGTCAGAGATCGTGGCACGAGGACGCGTCTCCGCCCGCGCTCCCGCTGTGAGAATACGGTCCCTCGTGCGGCGGCGGCGGCGGCTCCCCGGGCGGCGTCATCCGCTTCTCCTTCTGCCGCCGGTTGCAGAACCACACGCGCACCACCTCCTTCTCCAGCTGCAGCGTGTCCGCGAGSGACGTGATCTCCTGCGCCGACGGCTTGGGACACTTGAGGAAGTGCGTCTCCAGGACGCCCTTGACGCTCACCTCGATCGACGTCCTCTTCTTCCTCTTCCTGCCCTGCGCCGCGATCTTGTCGATGCTGCTGGAGCTGCCGGTGGACGAGTCGGCCTCCTCCAGCCACTTGTTCAGCAGCGGCTTGAGTTTGCACATGTTCTTGAAGCTGAGCTGCAGCGCCTCGAACCTGCAGATGGTGGTCTGGGAGAACACGTTCCCGTAGAGCGTGCCCAGGGCCAGCCCCACGTCCGCCTGCGTGAAGCCCAGCTTGATCCGCCGCTGCTTGAACTGCTTGGCGAAGTGCTCCAGCTCGTCCGAGGTGGGCGTCTCCTCGTCCGAGTGGTCGTGGCAGTGGTGGCCGCCCAGGTCTCCGTGCTCGGGGCTGAGCGTGTCCCTGAGGCCCGGGTGCATGCCCTGGCCCTGCGGGTTGCTGTTGGGCGGCGGAGGAGGAGGCGGGGTGAGACCGCCGTGCTCCAGCATGCCGTTGACAGTGAAGCCCGTCTGGGAGTAGAGGTTGATCTGCTGCGCGCTGCTGATGGACGTGCCGTGGGACACCGGCGTGCCCCAGGCCCCCGGGTGGTTGTTGTGGTGCGGGGAGTGGTGCGCGACGTGCGTGGAGCGGTGATGGATGAGCTGCAGGTCCTCCCGGCCCGGCTTCACGTCCTGCTGCTCCATGGCGGACCAGGGGCTGCCCTCCCACTGGTGCCCGAGCGGGTGGCCGTTGCTCTGCAGGTAGTCGCTCTGCAGGAGTTTCTGGTGCCCCCTGTAAGGGCTCGCGGGCTGCATGGCCTGGCTGTCCGCGTGGATCATTGGGCCGGAGGTGAGCAGGGTGTAGGGGCTGGAGGCAGCTGTGGCCATGCTGGCTGCTGGACCCCACTGATGCTACTGAAGGGAGGCAGCAGCTCAGCCTCTGACATCTCTCCCTCTCTCCGGAGCCTCGGCTGCAGCCTGCGGATGACTGACAGCTTCCCAGAGCCAATCACAGCCCGGCTCCCTGCACGTCRCCACCAACAAGGGTCGCAGGAAAACCCCCCCACCTCTGGAGCCGCGCGCAGTAAAAACTAAAAAGGGGGGGAGGAAGTGTGGATGGGTGGGTTACTGTACAGGCAGTCGAACCGGAAGTATGCTGGTCAATGATGTGAGCGTGCAGCGCGCGCGGTTTCCTGTTTATTAATTAAAGTTTCCAGCTGATTTACGCGCGGGTTTATTGCTGCTCCCGTCACCCTTGAGCGCGCGCGGAGAAACAGATTAAAGCTGCAAAGGCATTTCTTAAACGTGCCAGCACTTAAATTAGAGGGGGATCCAATCAGACTAAGAGCACTTCTCACAACTAATTATTAACTTAAGAGAAAAAAAATCTCAGGTGATTGTGAAACAAAAAAGACAAACTCTTTTACGCACAGCTCGTTTTTCGTCCCCAAACCATTTAGGTCCAAACAAAAATGACTTTAGTGTCTAGAATAAAGATTTTTTTTCCTCAGAGATCAGTGTTCCCATCCTTACTGCTTCAAAGCAACGTTTTAATGTTGAATAAAATATTTCCTCCTTCCTCATGTCTCATGTTTGCCARCAGAAAGCTGCGCCGCAGTTCCGCTCCTTATTGGCTCCAAAAAAATAACTCCATTAAACATTTTGCCCGAGCGGAGCAGGTTTAAGCTTGATTTAAATTTGCATACATTTTCATACATTTAGGGGAAATAAAAAGAAGGAGTGCAGCCAGCGGAGAGCCATTAAAGAGCGCCGGGCTGAGCCTGCGGAGCAGCGGGGCCGAGGGGAGGGGGAGACGCGGAAAGGAGCAGGCCGGAGCAGGTGAGCCGAGCGCCGGGGCTGGAGGAGCGGACTGGGACGGGGTGCTGGGTCTGGGAGGAAGAGGATTGAAGGGATGATGATGATGATGGCGGTGGTGGTGGGGAGATTTGTTTAAAAGCTTGAAACTCAATCGGAGGTATAAATTATCTGAATTATGGCTGAATATTGGATGTGATGGACCTGTTTGGTGTAAAGTTGCGCGCAAATTAGAAAATGTCACCCTGAACGAGTTGTTTGGAGCGTAATGTTCCAGTTAAACGTGCTTAATAAATATTTTAGGTTTCATTTTATAAAGAAAACAAACAACAACAAAAGCTGGAGTTCCTGGTTTAGGCTCGTTTCTAAAGATCAAATCTGTGTTTTCATGGCGCAGAAAGCAGCCAGGAGGAGGGAGGGGGGAGGAGGAGGAGGAGGGGGTTAGTTCGGACCCCTCCATAGTCTAAGTTTCTAAGTGTAACAGATGCTTGTGTAGAAACGCTCCTTGTGCCGATTCCCTTTTATTCGCGTCGACATTTTTCCGCCGCTGAGCTCGTTTCCATAGCGAGGCGAAGAAAAGGCAAATCCCCGCTCCGCGCCTCCCATAAAAGAGCCCATTGAGAGAGAGAGAGAGCGGGCCGAGCCGTGCAGCTCTGCTACACTGACACCACCCTGCACACACACACACAAACACACACAAACACACACGCAGGCTGCACACCACTCACTAATCACACACTCTGTTTTTTATGTTTTATCTTGTCGCGTTTTGTTTGTGCTTGTTTACTCCACAAACAGCAGAGTAAATAAACACATCTGTCTGCAAAGAAAAAAAAACATCTCAGGTGCATGGTGAGAATTTTGACTGAAACGATTAAAAATGTTATTAATTGTTTTTTTTAAGAATCCCACTGTTCTGGCTTTGTGACAATTATTTATTGCAATAAAAAAGAGAATAAAAACAACCATTTATGTGCTATTTTCTATCTAAATGCTTATTTTTTTTAAAGTTTAAACTGATCCAGTTTTGCAGGGGAACTGATTGGTTATTTTCTGTAGCTTTTCTCTGGTTTTAGTGTTGCACCCTTCAGGTTGCAGGTTCTGGTCTGAGACCGCCTCAGGTCTCATGCAGGGCAGGACCTATCACTCCTGGTGTCGTGACCTCTTGAAAAACTTTCCCTCACACAGAGCCCTGCTGCCTCTGCTCCTGCTGCCAACAGAGGCCACACTGATTCATTTCTTTCTTTAAAAGGAGGCAAATGGCTACGTTTTATGACTGGAAAAAAGGCAACACAAAGAGAAGCAGGACTTATTACTTTAAATAAATAAAAAACATTTAGCTTTAGAGTTTTCTTAGAGGTTTTTGTTTGTTTTCAGGAGGAAGGTGTCCATGTCATCTCTCAGCAGAAACTAWGTTGTTCACTGAGCACCCAGACAGGAAAATCAATATTCCCATTAACCCCTGATGTGGCAAATAAAGGACATCATGTCCAGACAAAACAAAGCTGATCTCACATCATTTGGGTGACAACTTCTTTGTTTTCATGACTCATTTGGGCTCATTTYAAGTGCAGGACCACGAGAAAAAGTGAAGGCTGTCAAACACAGAAATCTCATTCTCTCTTTGCATGTGTGTGTGTGTGTGTGTCCTTATTTTTCCTACATTGTGAGGCCCAGTTTTAAGGAAAACGCAGCCTTGTGGAGTCCGGGTGCTCAACTTCAGAGGCTGATTTTGGGTGTGAGGGTTGGGTTTAGGACCAAGGTGTGAATTGAGTTTAGGTTAGTTTTAGGGTCAGGWAGGTARCTGTGAGGTTAGCCTTAGGGTTGGTGGTCAGGGTTAGGATAGAAAATTACCAAAAAAATGAATGGAAGTCAATGGACACCACAAGGATATAAAAACAAGTGTGTGTGTGTGTGTGTGTGTGTGTGTG